GAATAAATTTAATCATTTCATTATTTTTAATATTTTTAATAAAATTTAATAATTTTAATTGAATTACAATAATACTAGTTCCATATGAATATTTAAATTTAGGTATAATTTTAATATTAAGAGGTAAATCTTCTATTTGTTTAAAATCTCTTTCTAATAAATTAATTAAATTATTTTGTTTTAATATTTCTTTATTTATATTATTATTATTTTGTAAACTTGTATAAATTTCTATTAATCTATTAAATAATTGATATATTTCTGTATAATTATTAAAATTCATTGGTAATTCACTAATTTCATATAAAATTCTAATTAATTGAATTGAATTTGGTAAAAATTGTTCACTAGAATTAAAATAATTTGATAAAAATGTAATTATTGATAAAATTAGTAATTGTTCTTGATTTGGTAAATTCCAATTAATACCATTTTCATGACATTTTTTAATATTACTTGAAATATAATATAAATACATTATTAAAAATGTTGGAATATTAATTAATTGATTTTGAAATATTTTAGGTCCAAATTTAGATAAAAAACTTTCCATTTCCTTAATAAAATGTGAAATGATAAATAATTGTTGAGGTGAAATTTCATCTTGTCTTATTGGTAAATTTGAATATTCAAATGAAATTTCAATTTTATAATTAGAAACAGAAAGTAAATTTGGAAGAAACTCATCCATTAATTTTACAAGTTTAGTATCAATAATTAAATCATTATTATCAGAATCATTGTTATCATTATCATCACTATTATTAGATTGTCTTATCAGAATAACATCTAATGAAATTAATAATTTTAAAGCCTTCATTAAATCTTGTTCATCATTATGTATTATAAATAAATCATCAACATCAGCATCATTAATTTGTATTCCAACATTCCTAGCCTTTTCAATTAATATTCGAATAGGAGATTGAATATCAAAGTTTTTACTACTATAATGATCTACTATTCTACTGCTACTATTATTACTATTACTATGATGATGGTTATCATAATGCGCAACACTAGTAGATGAAGGAGTAATTAAAGATTGTTCATCATCTTGCTGCATTTTTTTTGATTCTCTTCAATAATTATTTTAGCCTTGTTTGAAGTCTTTCCTAGTTTGGTAGTGATGCTGCGCGGTAATGGAAGAAAATAAATCATTAGTACTTGTATTGTATTTTCAATTATTGTTTTAGTCATATTATTGAGAGAAAGAATCTTTCATCTATTTAAACACCCGTGTTATTATCTGGATGTTTTGTGGATAATAGCTCACCATTAGAGTCACTTGTGTGTGGCGCTAAAAGTAACTGTTTGTAATTTGATCCAATATACAGCAGTGGAGGAATTGGTCCCTCCGTTGTTTGGTTTTAAAATGTTTGGCCGTTACGATTTAAACATTGTCGCCTTAGTAACTCTCTCAGCAGCTCTCTATATGTTTTTTGATAACGTAAAAAAACAGCGCCAAAAAAAATGAAAGTATCCAACAAGCCTTTATCCATGAATGCGAACAATATTGCTGCTTCATTCAATTATGAGCAATATTATTCCAAAGACTTGGAGGATGATGAAAATGCATTGTATGATATAATGACTAAGGGTTCGCTATGTAAGCGGAAAGACTTTTTAGATAAGGAAGACGAAGCAAAGAGTCATCCCCACCGAACATTTTACTATAGAAAGAACGTTAATTTGGACAAGGTTATTGAATCATGTACCAAGAAGGTTTGTATTAATATTATTATTATTTGGAGATGAATTAATTTTAAATGATGATGATTATATAGTTAATTGCCGATCCTTCAAATGTAAAGGCTCTTGTAGCTAGAGCACAATCCTACACTAAGAAGGATGAATATGATAGAGCTATTCAAGATTATTCAACAATAATTGATATATTACATATGGGAGGTGGTAATAGTCCTACTAGTAATTCGAGTAAGATGAGTGTAACAAGTGCATCATTTCTAAATAATTCAAATCAAATGTTGATTGGAGGAGGTACTACTAATTCACTAGTTAATGCCCACTTTAATAGAGGACAATGTTTTGAGAAAATAGAATTGTTAGACAAGGCTTTGGAAGATTATTCAAGTGTATTGAGAATTGATCCGAACCATGTTAATGCTGGCTATAGCAAAGCAGCTTGTCATAATAGAAGAGGTAATTTCCAAGCTGCTATTCTTGATTATGAATTTGCCTTAGAAAGAGATCAAGAGAAGAGTCAACAAGTATCATCTCCAAAGAGAAGAAGAAGAGTTCCAAGATATCTCGCTGAGGGTCACAGCTCTTTTGAGGAATATATGAAGCAAAAAGAGGAAAATGTTAAGGCAAGTATGATGAGAGATTCATCCATTTTCAATAGTGGACTCTCAAACATTCCTTCTAGTTTGAATAATAGCACAATGAGTACTAACTCTTTAACAATTAATACTACTCCATCGGGTGCTAGTATTCTAATGAATAGTGTTAGTAATAATGCAATCGGAAATCCAGTATCTCCTGCAGTTAGTATTAGGCCAAGATCTCAATCCTTCTCCTCAACAAATAGCTTTGCTAGTTTGAATAGTGCAGGTAGTGGTAGAAACTCTGTTGCTAACAGTTCACCAACCTATGAAGATGATTTGAATAATAATGATTATGAATTTAACTCGACAGAAGATGCTGCTAGTGTACAAGAAGATTCCATCAGCACAGTGAGCGGAGGTAATGCTCAAGAAGATAATGTCAGTGTGAAGAATGCTGATTACTATCACTCTAGAGGATTCTCACATCGTAAAAAGGGAGATTTCCTTTCTGCTATCAGAGACTATACCAAAGCCATTGAATTGAATCCAAAACACTTCAAGGCCTATTTCAATAGAGGTTTTTCATATGATAAATTGGGACAATATCAAAAGGCTATTGAAAATTACACAATAGCATTGAATATTGAACCAAGAAATTCATACACGTACTATAATAGAGGTATTTCATATGATAGATTACAACAATATAGTAAGGCAATTGAAAACTTTTCCAAAGCTATAGATATTGACCCAAGTAATGCTGACTTTTTCCATAATAGAGGATTTTCATATCGTAAGATTGGACAATTTGATAAAGCTATCCAAGATTACACTAAAGCAATTCAAATCAACCCTAAGCACTTTAAAGCCTATTATAATAGAGCATTTTGCTATGACAAGATTTCTAATTTCAAGAAGGCTATCGACGATTACACTTTGGCTTTGGGTATTGATCCAAAGAATATCAATGCTTATCATAACAGAGGTAGCTCTTTTGAAAAGGCAGAAATGTTTGAGGAAGCAATTAAGGATTGGTCGACAGCTATCAAACTCGATTCTCACAATATTCCTTCATTTATTTCAAGAGGGTTATTAAATGATAGAATTGGAAAATACGATGATGCTATTAATGATTTCACAGCTGTAATTTCACTTGAGACAACTCCTAGTCCAACCATGTACATCAATAGAGCTACAACCTATAAGAATATGGGTCAATATGAAAAGGCAGTTGCTGATTATTCAAGAGCTGTTGAATTGAATCCAAACAATACTCAAGCATTTATTGATAGAGGATTTTCCTATAGAAAACTAGGTAAATATGATGAGGCTATTAAGGACTATACAACAACTCTTCAATTTGAACCTGATAATATCAAGACTTTAAATAATAGAGGTTATTCATTTGCTAAGAGATCTCAATACGAGTTGGCTATTGCTGATTATGATAGAGTGATAAAGATTGATCCAAAGAATGTTCATGCCTACCATAATAGAGGAATTTCATATGAAAAACTGAAGAATTATTCTCGATCCATTCAAGATTTTACCAAAGTAATTGAATTGGACCCAACAAATGCTAATGCTTATTTCAACAGAGGAAGTGCTTTTGATTCAATGGGTGATTTTGACAATGCCATTCAAGATTACACTAAAGCTCTTGAATTAGAAAATCAAGCAAACCAGGGTTCTGAAATGATGTGACGATTAACTTTGTCAATCAAAACAATGAAAATCTGTATTACTATTACCAAGTATTTCCATTTGATTAAATTCAAATGAATAATAATAAACAATCAAAATATTAATCATTACATGCTGATCTGATAGAATGAACAAGGGAGGATTCTTTTAAATCACCGAATCATTTCATTCCGTGATGAGAAATAATAATAAACAATTAAATAATTATAAAAAAATTCATCACCCAACAGAGACAGTAGTAGTAAATATATTGTGATTTTGCATCATTATCTACACACAATCATCATCCAATATATTAATTTTGTAAATAATCCGTGTTATTGTTTTTAAAAAAACAAAACATTATTCTCCTACCACCACACAATCATCATCACCATCATTATCCATTCAACAATAATAATCAATTACTTTTATATAAATAATAATATAACACAATACAACAACAACACAACATCATAACACAACACAACATAACATAAATGACTAGTAGTAGATGGTTATCTTCATATAAAACAGGATTATTTTCAAGTGGATATAATGAATTTTATCAATTATTTCTTCATGATAATATAAATAGAAATGTATTAACATTTTCCAATACAATTCCATTACAAAAAGATGAAAGAATTAAACAAATATCATCAGGTGAAAAACATTCATTTTTATTAACAAGTAAAGGTAAATTATATGGAATTGGAATGAATGAATTTGGTCAAGTTGGTGTTGGAAATGTTTCTTCTTTTTTACAAAATTTAAATCCACAAATGGATAAAAAAATGTATCAACAACATATGGAAAAAATTGAAATGTCAACTCATATTGATATTGATCATGTTTTAAATCCTATTATTAATAATAATAATAATTTTAATAATAATAATAATAATAATATTAAAAATGAAAATACTAAATATGGAAATAAAGAATTAGAAATTCAAATTAAAGAATTAGAAAAAGAATTAAATTATAAAGATTTTATTACAAATGTAGTATGTGGAAGAGATTTTACATTTATTTCAACTGATAAAGGTTATTTATATGTCAATTAGGTTNATCTATGAAAATTAAATATAGAAATCATTTTACTAAAATAGAATTACCTGAAAAGGTAGCATCTATTGCATGTGGTGCTTTTCATACTATAATATTAACAAGAGATCATCATATTTATATAATGGTATGTTTTTATATAATTTTATTAATATTTTAATATTTAATATTTTAATAATATTTTAATTTAATTTAATAATAATATTTTAATAATAATAATATTTATTAAAAAAAGGGATTAAATATATTTGGACAATTAGGAATTGATCCTAAAGTGATGGAACAACGTGTTAAAAATGAAGTGTATATAAATCCAAAAGGGGAATTAATAGATTTTTCCTATATAAGTAAACCTATTAGATTAGATTATTTTGATTATATGGCTTATGAAGGTGATTTTATTTCACATATTTCAACAGGTGCATGTCATTCTGCTTTTTTATCAAATTCTGGTAAATTATTTATGTGTGGTTTTAATATAAATGGTGAAATTGGAATGGGTCAATCAATTAGATATTCATTCACTCCTAAAAAACCTATTTTTAGATATCCTTATCCATATATGGATGAATCACCTACTATTAGAGCTATTTCATGTGGTTTAGATCATACCATTGTTGTTACTGAAAATGGTGAAGTTTTTTCAACTGGTAAAAATGAAGATGGTCAATTAGGTAATTTTTTATTTAATTTATTTATTAATTTAATTTATTTATTATTTATTATTTTATTTATTTATAGGATTAGGAGATGTTAAAAATAGATATGAATTTAACATGGTAGAATATTTTGAAAATGAAACATTAAATAGTAAAATAATAGATGTAGAATGTGGAATGTGTCATTCAATATTTATAGGAACTCAATCTAAAAATAGTAATAATTCAAAACAAGAATTTTATATGAGTGGTTGTAACAAGTATGGTAATTTAGGATTAGGTGATTTTGAAAATAGAAAATTACCAACAAAATTAACAAGTGTTGCAAAATCTAAAAATGGAATTTTATGGAAAGTATTTTGTAATTCACATTCAAATTCTACTTATTTAGTACAAACAAAAGAAAAGAATTGGTTACAGAGATTATGGGATTCTTTATTCATGTTTGTTTAATAAATTATTTATTACTACTAATTTAATGAGATTATCGTTTTACAAGCTCACAACAGTTTGTGGCCAGTATTTCCAGATGCTAATTTACAAAAGAAAAATCAATTCCAAAAAAGCCAATTGAGCAAAACCCAGAGAGAATGCAAGGATAATCCAACTTTCGTCTATTAATTTCACCTTCGAAATTGTTCAGCAAATCTATCTTGTTCACCTTACTATTGGAAAACTCAAATTCTGAAATATTAGCTTAAATTTACTTCCAAAGAAAACTAAACTAATCGAGAATTTCCAAAAGCCTTTAAAAGAAGCAAGTGTGATTGATTTTCAGTGGTACGTTTTGGTGACTCTTAAAATAGTCTATGTGTTGGAATAGCCACAGGTAATAAATATTCTGGATTGGAGTTGAATTTTATAGATGGTTCGTAACGATGGAATTCTGAAGTTCATGCATATTGATTGATGTTCTCGTTATTCTGTTGTAAATATATTTCTCACATTAATTGCAAGTTAATAAATACTCACAAACTACATTGATAATTGACTCCAAGTAATTGTATTAACGTAAGTACACAAGAAATATCATATAATTACGTAGTACTAAATGTAGAGAGCACATTGTGATAACTAACCCGTTCGTATTTATCGTTATCACAATGTGCTGCAATAATATGTAATTCCATGAATAAGATATAGCAGCGCTTAGCGTACGTCAATGAAACACCATGAATTAATGTATGTTATACTATTGAATAAGTACAATTACAAACGTTGATGAAAGCCTAATTTCAAGCATAGATATGATTAATCATGTTGCTAAGCTGAACATGATTGTTCCTAAATTTGTGAGTAGATGTTTCCACATCAAACAATTTGTGATCCCACTCAATCTTTTCAAATCTATAGAGGAAGCCTGGAAATCATCAGTTGGTATGGGTTGGATTCTTTGGAAGCTATGGAATGATCATTCCAAGTTGGAGCTGCTGGCTTGCCTAAGATGACCATTTCGATTCACAACGATCATTGAATTGTTGTCCATTGATTCAACAAATATCCCTGATATTCATACTGAATCACTCATTATTGGAATGAACCAAAAAGTCATTGGCTTCAATAATAGATTATATCTTCAACCGTTCCAACGTTATCTGTGAAGGTTCTCAATGTACTATTAATCAAACACAGAATTTGGTCATTGGTTTGTGAAATGTTTAGAGGGTTGGATGTTTGAATGGATTCTTGAAGCACTATCGTTCTTATCATTTTAAACATCCAACCAAACAACTAATTGACAATTTAATCATCTAGTGGTTGAGTTGAATTTCAATTTATTTTTAAAAAAAAATGAAAAGATTTAAACAATCATTTTATCAACACACCCACATTGTCAATAACAATGGTGGCAATATTTTTAGAGTTGTTGGTAGAATTAATACTTGTACATTCTATCATCATCATCATTCTAATAGTAAAATAATGATAAAATCTTTATTCATTCCGAATTGTCTAATAAATTATCCTTCTCACTCTCATCATCATGTTAATAATATTTATAATATTTATAATATTAAATATTATCATTATCAATCATTTAATCAATCTAATCAACATGAATATAATCATCATTCTAATAATCATTCTAATAATCAATCGAATCAATCAAATCAATCAATTGAATCAAGTATAGAAATTAAAAAACAAATAAGGAAATTATATAAATTAACACATCCAGATTTATTTATAAATGAAGAAATTAAAAAAGTAAATTCAAAATCATTAACAATATTTCAAACATTTTTAGATGAATATAAAGGTTATTTAAATAATAATTTAAATAATTATGAAAAACAATTTAATATTTATAATTTTAAATTTTATAAAAAAAATATTGAAAAACCATTTGAAATTACTTTATATGGTTTACCTTTAAATATTAAATTATCTACAAATCAACAATTAGATTGTTTTATTTTTAATTTAAATTTATTATTAAATTTATTAGAATATAATGAAAATGAAAATATAAATAAATTAAATGAATATTATTTTAAAAATTTTAAAAAATTAAATAATTTTAATAATTTTAATAATAATTTTAATAATAATAATTTTAATGATGATAATATTTCAAATAATAATCCATTTATAATTATAAATAAAATAAATGAATATTCTAAAAATAAAAATTTAGATTTTGAAATATTATATATTCGTAGATTTGAAATATTAACTTCCTTAATTAGAAATAAAATTAATGAATATATAAATAGTAAATCAATTAGATTTAATATTTATGATAATTCATTTGAAAAACAATATCAAATAATTATAAAATTTACAAATTATTTAAATACTAAATATGGAGTTGATACTTCTAATTGGGGAAAAAAAGAAATGATTAAACATGAAATTAATTTACTAAAAATAGAATATCCATATGAAATATTATTAATTAGAAAAATATTAAATCAAGAAATTGAAATTAAATTTGGAAATGGAAATACAGGTATAAATAAATTAGGATATATTAATTTTAATCCAAATGAATCTCCTAAAATTTGGTTTGATTTTTTAATTAATTTACCAAAAGAGGAAATTATTAAAATTAAAAATTATGAAAAACATTATTTAAATATTATAAATTTAGAAAAATTAATTTCACAAAAATTAAATATAAATCAAATTACATGTTCAAATGATGATTTAATTCATAATGATAAATATTTAAATATTTTAAATTTATTTTTAAATTCTAATTATATTTTTAATAATAAAGAATTAAATATAATTATTTTAAATAATAATAATAATGAAATTAAATATGATGAAAAATTAAATAATATTTATATTTCATTAAATATTGAATTAAATATTTTAAATATTTTAAATGAAATTGAAAATTTAATTTTTAAATATGAAAATGAATTTATTAAATTTAAAAAGGAAAGAAAAGATTTAGAACAAATGTTAAATGAAACTAGAAATTATTTACATTTAAGAAATTTAAGTGTAATTGATAATTTAAATTTAAATGAAA